GGATGTATGTGTGATTTTAGGGAAAGTAGTATTTCTTTGATAAATTTGTGTGCTCCATTATTTGGTGAATAGATATTTAGAATTGTAATATCCTACTGAAGGAGAGATTCCTTAATTAGTATGTAGTGACCTTCTTTATCTCTTCTGGCTAATTTTAATTTGAAGTCTATTTTATCTGATATTAGGATTGCAACTCCCACTTGTTTATGGGGGCCGCTTGCTTGGTAGATTTTATTCCAGCCTTTCACTTTCAGAATGCATTTGTTTTTGTGGGCAAGGTGTCTCTCTTGAAGGCAGAAGATAGAAGGATCTTGCTTTTTGATTCAATTAGACAGTCTATGTTGCTTAATTGGAGAGTTAAGTCCATTAATATTACGAGTTAAGTCTGAGAGGTGTTTGGTAGTTCCTCCCATGTTATCTACCTTCTTGGGGGCTGTGCCTACTGGGTTCTTCCTATGACTTTTGGATTCTCTATTGTAGGCCTGGTTTGGTGGAGAAATATTGTTTCGATTTTTCTTTGCTGTCAAAGGTTTTATTTGACCTTCTGTTATAAGGAGAGTTTAGTTTGGTACATTATTCTTGGTGGATAGTTGTTTGTCTTTAGGGCATGGCATACATCATTCCAGACTCTACTTGCTTTTATTGTCTCTGCTGAAAAATTTGAAGTTATCCTAATTGGTTTCCCTTTATAGGTGATTGATCTTTTCTTCTTGACAGCTTTAAGGATCTGTTCTTTGCTCTTAATTGATCCTGTGTGGATTACAATGTGATGATGGGATGTCCTGTTCTGGTCTGGTCTCTTTGGGGTTCTAAAGGCTTCTTATACCCCAAGACATCCTCACTCCTTCTCACAGAGCAGTGGTGGGAAGGTAGCCCTTCCCCCATCACCTGAGAAGAACTCCATGTTTGATACTGACAAAGATGGGCTATGGCAGCTAGCACATAACTGAGGCCTTGGAAGAAGACTATAGGAGCCATTCCACCTTTGTCTGTATTCTCTCAAAACTTCATCTGACCAACTGATGGTTTTTAACTTGTTGAAAAAATAGAAGAAATAAATGGGAATATTCTCATTGTCTATGGTCCCAAATCAACAAGCTTATTTGTGTCTATACCTGTTGTCTACATCTTCAGTCTGTTATCTAGGAAAGAATGACTCTTGTTTCTACAAAAGACAATTCTCAATTTACTTTTCTAAATTAAATTCCTTTCACTCTATAAAAGAATTTGTTCTTTTGATACTTAAAAAACAAGTTGCTGTGATTCAAGTAGATTATTTCAATCACCATATGAGTATGTTCTAGTGTTACCCATGTTAGTAATAAAATTCAAACAAAAAATGAAGAAAACCCCAAAATGGAACAAAACAGTTTCCTCCATGCTTTTCACGTGATCAGCTATGGTATTATTTCTGTTTCCTTTTACAGTCAAATTTCTCAAAAAGAGTTTTCTAAATGTATCAAACATTTTCAGTCCCCATGTGTCCATATAGATGGCTTTTATAAAACTTTCCACTTATTTTTTTCCTTGCCTTCCACATCATACTTTCCATCTTACTCTATTACTACTACATTTTTACTATTCTTTGTCTTTTTTTCTCTCCTTGATCTTTAAATGCTATAGTGTTCCATGGGTAGACCTTCTTTTCTAGGTGTTCTCAATTCCTTTAAAAATGTCAACAAATATTATTGTTCCCAAACTTTTAGTATTCTTATTTTTTCTGAGCTGCATATTTCTTTTTCTTTTTTAATAACACCATTTATACATTCCATTATCAAAGTAATAATTAAATGTTCAAAACCATACTCTTGTTTCTATCTCACTTTGCAAAATCTGATCTTCATATAGGCTTTCCATTTTCAGTGAATGTAGTAAATATGATTGTATAAAAATATATAGGAGTCACCTTTAGTTCCTATCCTGTTCACATCTCTGATGCTGCCTTCTCCCTCTTTCCTCAGTAACATTTAATACTACCATTTTATTAACCTATAACATCTATACCAAAACATATTTTTTCTTTCATTCCTCTCTATCTTACTTGTCTAAAGCATTCTCAGTTTTGGTTGGTATATTTTTGAGAAGCCTCCTGAATAATCTTTCTGCATTCAGTTTTGATTCCTGTTGGATTATTTTCTGGTCTACCACTTGAATGATGTTTAAAAAATGTGAATCAGATTGTCTTGTTCCCCAGATTAAGACCTTTCAAAGGTTTTCTATGATATACCTGTTGCCTACTTTCTGAACTAACATTTTTATGATTCTCCAAACATTATTATAAGGAAAATGGAAGTTTTTTCTTTGCTCAAGCAAATCTTTGTACTTGTTACTCATTTTGCTAGGCATTTATTCTACTGGTTGTTTAAATGACTGGCTTCATATGTTCTCTGCATACTCTGCCCCATGCTATACTAGAGATTTATAAGCTTTATATATTCACTATTGCTATAAAAGGCCAGATAATATGTATTTTAGACATGATAAGCCAGATGGTATTTATCTGGCTTTCTCAATTATGGGAATATAAGAGAAAGGCAATCATAGACAGTATTCAAATGATTGGCTGTACCTGTGTTACAGTTTTATTTATAAAACAAACTGCGGGCCAAAATTGGATTACTGCAGTTGTACTACTACAGTACCCATTCCATCACATCACATCACCTTCCTTACTATCTTCATAGTATATCATGCTCTTAAGATTGATTATTTCTGCTTTCTCACTTATAATGAAAGCATCAAGAGAATAGGAACTTGATATATTCAACTTCTTTGTTTTATGTGTGCCTGATTCTGAGTGTATTTTTGACAAGTGTCTTATTGACTTAAAATATTAATTTGAAGACAAAATGTGTATATACACACTTTTTTTTTTTGCAGTCTTGGGGCTTGAATTCAGGGCCTGGGCCTGAGCCTCTGTGCTCAAGGATAGCATTCAACCACTTGAGCCACAGCTCCACTTTGAGCTTCTCCTGAGTGATTTATTGGAGATAAGAGTCTCATGAGCAGAAAAGGTCAGATAAGATGATGTTAAGTGAAATGAACCCCAAGATAAGGACACAAGTGGTTTTTTCTTTTCTTTCTTTTTTTTTTTTTTTGGGTCTGGTCGTCGGCCTGAACTCTGGCCCTGGGCGCTGTCCCTCAGCTCTTCAGCTCAAGGCTAGCGCTCTACCACTTGAGCCACAGCGCCACTTCCAGCTTTTTTTCTTTTTGCTTATGTGGTGCTGAGGAATCGAACCCAGGGCCTCATGCATGCAAGGCAAGTGGCTCTACTACTGAGCCACCTTCCCAGCCCATGGTTTTTTCTTTCTTACTATTGTTTCTAATGTATTTATAAGCTACCACATGATATTTTGTTGCTTTGTATGTCCCTCCTCCATGGTATAACCCTTGTTTTCACTGTATTTGATGTTGGTATAATTTGGGGAATGAAAGGGAAAAAACAAATTGTTTAAATAGGGATACAGGTTGACCCATTGCAACAATGAGATATATAAGACACTATGTCGAAAAACGAACTTTATAATTTAGGCAGGGGTAATGGGGGGGGGGTTGGCGAATGTAGGTGTGGAGATGGGAGGGAAGGGATAGTAGGGGAAAAACAAAGGAAGAGGCAACAATGCTTGATAAGAAATGCACTCATTATCTTGCTCATGTGATTGTAACCCCTGTGTACAGTATTTTCACAACAAAAACTTATTAAAAAAAAAGAGTCTCATGGACTTGAACTGTGATCCTCAGATCTCAATCTCCTACTCAGGAGCTAGGATTACAGGTGTGAGCCACCAGTGCCTAGTTACACAGACATTTTAACACTACAATTTCAATGTACCTTAACAATCTATTCACCATGTATAGTTAAGTCTTTCATGAACTAAAGCAGACACTACAATTTTCTGCATTAAGATCTTGTTTAGTATATACATACCATTTGTTGAAGAAGCTATCTTTTATCCAATGTAAATTTTGGGCTCTTTTGCCAAAGATCAGTTGGCTATAAATGCATGAACTTAATTTCTTGTCTTCTAGTATGTTCCATTTTTATTTGGGTATACTTTGTTTTTTGCCAGGATCAAGCTGCTTTTGTTATTATAGCTTTGTAGTAAACCTTAAGTCTGATAATGTGATACTTTTCAGCATTTTAAAAAAAAATTCTTTTTTCTTGTTTTATTTCTCTTGTTAAAAAATTACTTTGGCTATATCAGATCTTTTGTTCTTCCCTGTGAAGCTTAGTACTACTTTTCTTTCTTTGTGAAGAATGACATTGAGTTTTGATGGGCATAGCATTGAATTTGTAGGTTGCCTTTGGCAATATGGACATTTGCACAATGTTGATTCCGCCAGTCCAAGAACATGTGAGTTCTTTACATCTTCTGGTGTCTTCTTCAATTTTTCTCTTCTAGAGGACTTTGCCTTCTTATATTTTTCTTTTCTTTTCTTTTCTTTTTGGTAGCTATCATCAGTGAAGGTGTTTTCCTATTTTTCTTTATTCTATTTGTTACTGATGCACAGAAATATTATTGATTTTCATTTGTTGACGTGAGCTACCAATGTCCATCTTCTAGGATTTTTGTGATGAACAAAAGTAAATATATTATAGTAGACTATGAAATACTATTTAATGGAAAAACGTGACTTTATGAGAATGTAGGACACCTAAAAGTGTGTCTTCCTAGAATTTTAGCTAGAAAAAAATGCACCAAAATAGAAATACATTGCTTGTTAGATGAAAAAGTATAGATGACATTACTATCTTACTGTTATATTGTTTCCATAGTGTCTACGTAGTCATTTGTAACGTCTGAAAGAACAATAAATATAATTTTTAAGTAATGAAGACACTTCATTCTTTGCTTGATGACAATATCTTGATAGTCTTGAATTGGCTACAAATACTTAATGTAAATAATCTTTATAGTTTGCTGTATAGTTTCACCTTTTCTTTTTGAAGAAAGTGTTTTTTATTATGTGTGTCAGGGTTCTACTTTTTCTTCTTACAGACAGCCTTTTGATTGACTATCAGTTTACCTTCAGCTTACTGCAGGAAGATGATCGACACCATACTGCCATAAACTTCATAGCAAACCCAGAACAGGTAAGGAATATCATCTTTCATTATGAAATTTTTGTAATACCAAGGGATCTAAGTTTTTTTATTTTTTATTATGATTTTATCTCTCAGAATCATTAAACTATAAAGCTTTTATAGAAAATTATACATATGTTAATTTTCTCTTCATGTAAGTTTGGTATCCTTGTTTTTCAGAGAATATATGAATTTGATGTTTAAAATTTTTACAAATAGTACTATAATTTAAATTATGTTACTATGTGTGTGTATATATATCCACAAACATTTTTTTCACCAGTCTTGGGATTTGAACTCAGGATCTAGGCACTGTCCCTGAGCTTCTTTTGCTCAAGGCTAGCTCTCTACCACTTGGGTCACAGCTCTATTTGTGGCTTTTTCTGTTTATGTGGAATACTGAGGAATCAAACTCAAGGCTTCATGCATTCAAGATGAGCACTCTACCACTAAGCCACATTCCTAAATCCTTATATATATTTTTATATAATTGATGATCATACTTATACACAAAGGTAGAATATTTTTATTTGAAAAATAAAACACATAAATTCAAACTACTGTATTCCACCATTAAAGAAACATTCCATAGTATTTAGTTTTACCGATCTGTTTTCTAAATCCAGTGTTTTTATGAGTTCTATAATGCTGTCCTTATTAATCTTCTAAATTTACATGTGTGAAATATTATTGTAAATGTTAACACCAATGCCTAAGTTCAATAAAAGGCTCTAAGGAGATCTGTAATTATTATACATGTATTATTATGTTCTATTTGTTAATAAGCTAAAGGAATGGAAATACCAGACATGTAGTTTGTTTTGTTTGAATTTTAGATTTATTAAAGTTAAAACAACTTACTCAAAATGAAAAAACTATATTAAATTGATGAATGACTATAGATTATTAATCCATGTTATTAAAATCATGCCATATATTTTAATTATCAAATATATTCTAAAAGTATATAGTGTATTTTTTTAAGATAAATCTTTGTACTTTCTGGCAAATAATATATTAAAATATTCTTTTCCAATTGGATAGCATTCTATCTCTATAGAATACTTTATTCTGTATTGCTACGTATTCTCTAGATTTTAAAGGAGTAACTATGCACTGAGACATACTTATTTAATTTTAATAAGGCTTTTCAAGATATATTCTTTCAAATATAATTTTCTGTTTAATGACTTTCTATGAAGATATAAATGGGATGGAAGGAGTGACATTGGTCAAGAGACATTGTACTAATAAACTGATTTGTTGAATGGTAACATCTTTGTAGAACTATTTAAAGATAATAAAATACAAAAAAGGTAAATATTCTCAGTAACAGTATTTATTAATATGCTAATAAATACTTCAAAGTACATTACAATCATTACTTTTAATTGTGATGATACATTAGATGGTCCCATTTTAATCACTTTAGAATGAATATAGGTGTACAGATCAATAGGATTAAGTACATTTATAATACTGTTCAATCAATATCACTATTTCTAAACCATATCACATCTAGTATAAGCTCCTCATCTATTATATAATAACTCCATATTTTCTCCTTTCTCTAATTTCAGGTTCTATAATTCTGTTTTCTGTCTCTATGAATTGTTTGTTATATCTACCTCATATAAATGTAGCCATAGAAATTTTGACCTTTTGTATATTGTCATTAATTTACTTAACATAATATTTCCAAAATTCACATATAATTTATCTTTCAGAATCTCATTCTTTGTCATGAACTTCTTTTTTTTCATCATGAACTTCTTGCTCTTTATTAATTATTCCAAATCTATAGGGTTTTTGGAGTTTCTAAGAAATCTAATGTAGGTGTAATATCTGACTCGAAATTTGAGTTTATATTCTTTTCTAAAAAACTCCACATGTTTAGATTAGCTATTGTTCTAGTTTGCTTTTCCAACATTAATGCCTCTCTTTCAGTGGACATAAATATGTAGTGTTTTTAAATGTAATAACATTCAGTGTTATTTTCAACTGTCTTTCCCAGTAGAATCCAGGAGCTTATATACATGTAGTGATCCTAAACTATCACAAATGTCACTAAGAATGCTTATATTATCATTTTACTTGCTCTTTTAAAATTATTCACTTGGGCACAATCTCTAAAATTAACATGCATTCAAGATTAAGGCTTTCTGCTTATCCAGTAAGAAAACAGTAATAAACAATATTTATCTTGACTATTTATACATATCCTACGTTTTGACAACATGTTTAATTTCTAACCCATTATAGATCACTTTTAGTAAAAGTTAACTCATGAGACTTAATTATATATATTTAGTGTATATTCAGCTTTTTAATCTTTTTTCTTGTAGTCAAACAAAAATTTGGATATTTCAATTAATGCATCGAACAACTTTAATCTCAACATCACATGGTCAATGGGTTCAACAGGTAAAATTATTTTAGTATCCTGTCTCCTTCAAGTTTTAGTATGTGGAAGCTATTTTAACATGCTTTACTGCTCATTTAAATAAAAAAATTCAAAAAGTTCCATAATTATTCTGTCTCTGATAAAAGTTATAAGTTGCAGTTTTGATAAAGATTTATTATTTTTAATTAACTGTCTCATTGAATTAAAATTTGATGCCTAAAATATTTATGTAATACTTAAGTTTAAAAATGGTAATATTGTGAAATGCTGTGATTTTAATTAAGATAGATTACTTCTTCAGTGACTGGTGAGTGACTATTCACCTATTCATTATTGAAGGCATAAATTTAATTACTACATAAAGCTTTATAGCATTCTCTGTGCATACTTAAACAAGTAGTATCTTTTCTATTATTTTCAATTGAACGAATTTCTTCTTGTCACCTTCAGTCCTAAGAGGAGTTTAAAAGAAATTGTATAAATATACCATAATAAGTTGTGTAAATTGAAAGAGCTTTTAAAGATTATGACTTAGAAGAGGTTCAAACACATGTTGAATTGTGAAATTATACACTCATTATCCTAGAAGAAATATATAATTGTTTTAATGGTAGCCCTAGGTCTTAAGTGCAGGGCTTTGTGCTCTACCACTTGATCCAGAACTCTAGTCTCATTTTTTTGGTGGTTAGTTGAAGGTAAGTCTCATAATTTTAATAAGATATGTCTTACTATTTTCCTGCATGAGATGTGCAGGAACCACTGTCCTTTTGAGTAACTAGGATTACATGTGTGAAGTACCAGTACCTGGGTTAGAGAATATGCATCTTAAGAAAGTATGCTAGCTAAGTTTGGTATAGCAGATTAATTGGAAATTGATCTGAGCATATAAATTCTAATTACTTTTTTATGTTCATTAAGATGGAGGTCTTGTTAAAGTAGTTGGAAATGCATTGTTTCATTAGGCTAGCTTGAATAAATATTTATTGAGTACCCAGTATATATTTGACTAATTTAACATTTAGGCCATGTTTTAAATTATGACTTCTTCCAAATTTATTTAAAATTAGTGATGTTTCAATTTATGGTAAGATAAAAAAATTGATTTCTTTTCAGTTTTTTAATTAAGTTGAGACATGTGAAAATACATTTTTTAAATAGAGTCTGTGGAGTAGGAAGAAGGATCCTAGTTTCTGAAGCCATGCATTTTTAAATTCCAAAGTGGAGGTTACTTGGAGCTACAGATTTGGAGCAAGAACATTCATTTTTCTGAATTTGATAAAAAAAGGTGATAATGCCTACAGTGTGAAATTGTTAATAGGACAGACTATCAAGTCTTGAAGTCATTGCCTGACAGCAGTCAATGATAGCAGTTTTCAAAATAAGTTTTATACTAAATAATTTTATTTTATATATGCCCAGCTATTTTTTGTCATTCAAATTGCAAATGTGAGTGTATTATGATAGTTGTATTTCACAAATTGACTGTATTGTGCATTTTAAAACAGCATTGGTGGCTCCATTGGAAGTTGCCTTACACCTCTCTATTGCAAGGCTCTGGTTCAAATCCCAGTACCACCAAAAGAAAGGGAGAGCAAAGAAGGATAGAAGGGGTGAATATTGTAGAAGTATCCACTCTGTCTGTCTGTCTGTCTGTCTGTCTGTCTGCCCATCTATCTATCTGAATAGAAATAGGCTAATGAAACCCACTGAAACCTGACAAAAGGTATTTTAAGAAAGAACAATATAGATAATAGGAATTTGATAAGTCCTGTTGTAAATATCACAGTCTCTTATGTATTTAATTTATGCTAATGAAAATTTAGAGCATGTACACTTATATAATTTAAAAATAAAGATCTCTCCTATATGAATTGTTTAAATTTATTATCATTTACATTTTAGGTGGAACAATATCTGGGGAAGAGACTCCTATAGTTTCCAAGACTAATATAAAAGAATACAGAGATAGTTTTTCCTATGAAAAATTTAACTTTAGAAGCAATCCTAATATTACATTCTATGTCTACGTCAGCAACTTTTCCTGGCCTATTAAGATACAGGTAAGAAAGAGTTAAGAATATTAAGTGTTAAGACTACTTATTTCTAGTGATCATTGAAATTTTCACTACAAAAATGTTGATTTTCTCTAAAGAACTGTGAAAGAAACATTTTTTGACTTGAATAATACTAAAACATTAAAAAAAAAAAAACCTGAATCTAGCTGGGCACTGACTCATGCCTGTAATCCTATTAGTAGCCTGAGATCAGTGGATCAGGTTTCACAGCCAGCCTAGGTAGGAAAATCTGTGAGTCTTATGTCTAATTACCCACCAGAAAACCAGAAGTGGAGCTCATTTGCCATAGAATGCCATTCTCTATTCTAGGATATTTTACTCTAAAATACTTAATCATCTAACAATATTAGTGTAAATGACTACTACTCATGACACTAAGTTATAGAAAATGATTTGTGAGATCTATTTCCTTATGATATAGTGATTGAGTTAAGTGCTAATTTAGAGTATCTAAAAAGGTTGTAAAAGGACGTGTACAAGGTTAAAAGACCAGAAATATACCTATGTAGTTTGAAAACTTTTAAAGATGTATAGTCTTCTTTTCTAAAACACATATATAAATATAATTCAGATTTCACTCTGTTCATTTCAGTTGTGATTTGAATAAAGAGAAAAGGGATTCTATAGAATGCTATGCTTACTAAATAGTAATTAAAATGGATATGCTAACAATCTCATCCCTATGATATCCCTGTGATAACAATACCCATGTTATATATAAAAATATTTGTTGACCTTTATTTCTTGGTTATATAATTATACTTTAAACAAGTTACAGTTATTTTTGAATGTTAATAAACGTTATAGGGTTGGCCAGACACCAGTGATTCAGATCTGTAATCCTAGCTACTCAGGAGGCTGAGATCTGAGGATTGTTGTTTGAAGCTGGGAAAATCTGAGACTCTTATCTCCAATTAGTCACAAAAAAGTGGAATGTGGAACTGTTACTCTACTGTTAGTACATTAGCTTGAGTAAAAATACCCATGCCAGTGCTCAGACTCTTGAGTTCTAGGTATAACACTGGCACACAAACACAAAAAGTTAAATGGTTGGCAATCAACTTTCTATGTTTGATTTCATTAGAACATATTTCTTCTGTATGCCAAACTAGAATTTCTGTACTAAAATGTAAATACTTCACTCTTCTGTAATAGTATATCATGGAAAACCATTGGGATGAGCAGCATGAGTAGAATCTATTTTGTATTCCTTATTAATCTCACTTCATTATTCTTGAGGAAGTATCAAGCATCCACATCTATATTCTTATTTGAAGAACCATAATAAACTTGCAGTTATTATACAGAATAGTATAATCCTGTTTTCTAAAGTTTGTGATTTCATATTCTTTTTATACTAAAAATCTTTTTATTACATAATTTACTATTTAGTATTTTTAATATTTAGTTCCATTAGTCTTTAGATTTACACCATAAATTTTAGCAAGATTTTAAGAAAAAGAAATTCTATAAATTCCTAGCTGTACAAGGATTAATTTTTATAAGAATATTTACATTCTTCATATTACTAGATTATAGAAAAGGCAATTAACAAATGTCAAAAAACAAATCTTAAATATGAACTAATTTCATGGTATTTAACTTTTCCTGTTAGTATTTATGTAGAATATGACAAAATATCAAATTAAAACTCTTAAAATTAAGTGTTTTCTGGTATTGCTATACAGAATTTAGCTATCTGATAATAGAGATAACAGAGCTACAGTAGCTTGCTTTTTCTGTATGGTGTCATATTACTAATTGTTGAACAGATGAATATAATATCCATTTCTGTCTCTAGATTCTATTTGAACATACATATTGACTCAATTCTATATTATTTTAGTTAAGTTTATAGCATTCTAACTTAGTTTATAGGAGAAGTAGAAGTGAAAAAGTAAGTTTTTTGCTGAGTGTTTGGGACATATTTTGGACTTATTTAGATCACAAAATGTTCTCTGAGAATTGGTTTTGGGTGGCATATGTATAAATAGTATTCATGTATAGACTAGGTTATCTAAAACTTTCTGTGACTGTTGCAGTTAAGACATTAAAGCAAGAAAGTTTCTCAATAAGCATTGTATTGAAGCAATGTATTTAAAGATGAGTAAGAATCAGCAAAGAAATATTTCAAATAACAATTCTAGACCAAGGGTCAGTTTGCAAAGTTGTGATTAAATAATTTTCATCAGAGAACAAAGTTTTGTATAGCTAGAAAACAGGATATATGGAAGGAAAGTGATGGTAAGGGAGATTTCTTGTGCTAAAAAGAGGAGATGAAGTATAATAGTTAAGTTTGCTTGAAACAAATTGTAACGTATTGAAAGAGCTAATTAAGCACATATTTTAGAAAGAAAATATTGTTAATTTGGCAAAAAAGAATGGTATGGAGAACATTTTTCTGAAATTAAAGCTAAGTTGTGCATATTTTCTTTTATTTATTTATTTTTATTAAGTTTTTTATTATGAAAATACTGTACAGAGGGGTTACTATAACATGGGCAAGATAATGAGTACATTTCTTTCTTTTTTGTTGTTGTTCGTCATGAGGCTTGAACTCTGGGCTTGGGCGCTGTCGCTCAGTTCTTCAGCTCAAGGCTGGAACTCTACCACTTGAGCCACAGTACCACTTCTGGTTTTCTGAGTGGCTTATTGGAGATAAGAGTCTCATGGTCTTTCCTACCTAGGCTGGCTTTGAACAGTGATCCTCAGATCTCAGCCTCCAGAGTAGTTAGGATTATAGGTGTGAGCCACCCCCCCCCCCCCCCCCCCCCCCCCGCTGCCAGCCATGAGTACATTTCTTATCAAGGATTGTTGCCTCCTCCTTTGTTTCCTCTTACCATCCCTGCTCTCCCATCTCCAACCCCCTTCCCTGCCCCACCAAAGTAGTAAAGTTCATTTTTCGACATAGCATCTTATACATTTCATTGTAGTTGTGCGCATTTTCTTATGCTGTACATCTTAAAAAGAAATGTTTCACATTCAGAATGGCAAAATAGGTCTGCTGTTCTGACAGACCTATGGCCACCTAATCATCTAGAAGGAAGCCAAGAAAATAGGATGGAAGAAAGACAGTCTCTTCAACAAATGGTGCTGTCAAAAATGGTTAAACACCTGTAAAAAACTAAAATTAGATCCTTATATATCATCCTGCACTAGAATCAATTCCAAATGGATCAAAGACCTCGAGGTAAAAGCAGACACTCTGAAAACCTTAGCAGGAAGGAATAGGAGAAACACTAGGGCTCTTTGGCACAGCTCAGAATTTTCTTAATACAGACCCAGAAACACAGCAAATCAAAGGAAGGTTGGACAAATGGGATGCATGAAACTGCAGAGCTTCTGCATGGCAAAGGACATAGCTAGCAAGATCAATAAAATGCCCACAGATTGGGAGAAGATCTTCACTATCCATACAATAGACAAGGGCCTCATATCTAAAATATACTTAGAACTCAAAAAACTAAATCCCCCAACAACAAATCCTCAAAGAAACAACTGCCCGATTAATAAATGGACTAAAGACTTAAAGAGAGACTTCTCTGGAGAGGAAATAAGAATGGCCAATAGGGCTGGGAAGGTGGCTCAGTGGTACAGTGCTTGCCTTGCATGCATGAGACCCTGGGTTCGATTCCTCAGCACCACATAAACAAAAAAGAAAAAAGCCAGAAGTGACACTGTGGTTCAAGTTGTAGAGTGCTAGCCTTGAGCTGAAGAGCTGAGGGACAGCGCCCAGTCCCAGAGTTTAGGCCCCATGACCAGACCCCCCTCTGCCCCCCCAAAAAGAATGGCCAATAGACACATGAAGAAATATGTAACATCTCTGGCTATAAAAGAAACGCAAATCAAAGCCACATTGAGATTGTGTCTCACCCCAGTTAGAATGGCCATTATCAAAGAAATTAATAACAACTGATGTTGGAGGGGATGTGGCCAAAAGGGAACATGGCTGCACTGTTGGTGGGAGTGTAAAGTTTTTCAACCACTCTGATAGCAGTGTGGAGTTTCCTCAAAAGGCTTAACATAGAGCTCCCCTATGACCCAGCAATCCCACTTTTGGGCATTTACCCAAATGACCACAAATAAGGCCATACTAAAGCAACCAGCACAACCATGTTTATTGCAGCATTATTTATCATAGCTAAGATATGGAACAAACCCAGGTGCCCCTCAGTAGATGATGGATCAAGAAAATGTGGTATATATATACACAATGGAATTCTATGTGTCTACCAGAAAAAAATGACATTGCCCTGTTTATAAGGAAATGGAAAGACTTGGAAAAAAATCATATTAAGTGAAGAAAGTCAGACCTAAAGAAACATAGATCCTATGGTTTCCCTCATTTGTAAATTAGAATATGTCTAGGATAGTCCTAGCAAATGAGCAGAATAGCTCAATATCTATGTACGTAAGACCATACAAGATGATGCTAAGTGAAATGAACTCCAAGAAATGGAAAGGAGGTTTTTTTTGTTGTTGTTGTTTTTAATGTAGGAGGTGATTTATTTTTTCTTTTGTGTTTTTTTCCTATGGTTTATTCCCGTTGATATATTTGATTTTGGTATCCTAGGTATTATATGTAAAGTTATCTGAATTAGGGAAGGGGAGGGGAACAATAAATTAGACAAAAGACAAGGATAAACCAATGCAGCAGCGATACTCCCAAGTCAACATGTTTGAAATTAACTATACAACTTGGACAGGGTGGGGGTTCGGGGGAGCGTGTTTGGGGAGGAGGAAAAGTAGTAAAAAACTGAAGGAGGGGGTAACAAATTTGACAAGAAATGTACTTACTACCTTATGCATGTAACCCCTCTATACATCACTGTGACAATAAAATTAAATAATAATAATACAAACTACTTTGTTAAATACCAATTCCTTTGAATAACTACTTAAAGACAAAAATTTTAAAAATTGAAAACCAAAAAAGATACACTTTTATTTCACATACATTTGATGAGATTGTCCAAATTATTGAA